TGTGTAAGGACTACATGCGCTCAGTATTTTTTATGGTACATTTTTTTCAACCAGGGACCATAATAATTATAAGTAAAATAATTTAAATCAGCATTTAATCATTATTTTATGATTTTCACTTTTTTCGCTCAAAAATATTTAATAGTTATTACTGAGTTTTGTTTTTTTTTCTGATAAAGAATTTTTAAATATTATTTGATTTTTATTTTTTCGAAAACAATTATTAATTTATGATTTCTATTTGTTTGCTCAGAGATTATTGTGGTTTATTTTCCCACTTAAAAATAATGATTATTTATTAATTATTTTTATAGTGTGGCTACATCTGAAAAAATGTGTCGGAAATCACGCTAGTAAAGCTTACGAGTTTTTTTAATAATCATTATTCTTAAGTGAAAAAATAAAATTCAATAATAATTATTATTTTTGAGCGAAAAAATAAAACTCAAATATTAATTTTTATTTTCCATGATAAAAACATTACAAGGTAAATTCATTCTCTCAATTCGTCGGTCTTGATTTTTTTTCTAACGTTTGCAAGCATTTTAAAGTCATATAAAACAAGTAATTTTTAGCAAAAAAAAACCGACTTAAAAAAATATATATATATCTATATATTTCATGATCCAATGATCGGATCTAAACCAAATTAGTATGGGACCACCTCTGAGACACTACCTTACCGTTGCAAATCGGTTGACGTGGTGCAAAGTTATGCGGTAACATACATAAAAAAAAAAAAAAAAAATATTCCGACGAACTGATGACCTCCTCCTTTTTTGGAAGTCGGTTAAAAAAAAATAAAAATAAAAATAAAAAAAGTATTCACAATTGTTGTTTGAGATTGAAAATGAGAATGTGTGTGTGTGGTTGAGTTTTGACCAGACCATGATAAAAACAAAACAAGGTAAAACCATTGAGAGGCAGTCTGACGTTTGCCAACAATATAATTTTAAAATCAAAACTCAAACTCACACACACATTCTCATTTTCAATCTCAAACAACAACAATTGTGAACAATTTAATTTTTTTATTTTCAATTTTATATGATTTTAAAATGTTGGCAAACGTCAGAACAAAATCATGGCCGACGAATTGAGAGAATGAATTTACCTTGTAATGTTTTTATCATGCAAAAGACTGCCTCTCAATGATTTTATCTTGTAATGTTTTTATCATGTTATTTTCAATTTGTAATGGTTAAACTCAAAAAAAATAAAAATCAATAGCAAAAATGTGTGCGTACAATCGAGAGCTTCTGCAACGCTTAAAATATATAGATTTTTTTCAAATAATATTAAAAAAAGTGATTATTTTCCGTCCCTGGTTTCAACTAGACAATTTAGCCTGATTTAAATTAGATAATTTCAAACTGCTGAAGTGGAAAAGTCCTTATCCCTTTCCATTAGCGCACACAAGGGGTGGGTTTTGGGGTTCAAACCCCCCCTAAACCTAATAACCTCAAATACAAACTGTATCTTAAAGCTAAGAATCCAGCTCTCAAGGAAATTATAAGAAATATTTATTATAATTTCTGTTGCTTGAAAAAGCGCTTTGATTTTGCTGTAAATTTTCATGAGGAAATAAATATACGAGCATTTTTTTCTTCAGAGCTGCAAACTGATTTATGAAAATTTGGTAGAAGAAAATTTCTTTTCCATTTCTCGTCCGTCGTTTTATATGAATTTTTCGTTTTTCTTGAGAGTTCAGTTAATTTTTTCGGAACTCGAAATATTAAAAATATTTACCAATCGTGAAAAATCACCATCTATCGAAAACCAGAAACCAGAAATCGAAAAAATGAACATAAAATTGCAAAAATTCATGGAATCAATATTATTTTTACTGACTATTTTTTAAAATTTTTTACTTTTGAAAGTTGAGCGCATCTTGAGCTTATAGAACTTTTTATTAAACAAGTAGTTTTTAAGGAAAGAACACAACCGACTTCAATTCTCATATACAAATTTAGGGGTACCGTTAATTTCTTCATGATCCAATCATCGGATCTCTAAACCAAATTACGGGACGACCCTTGAGGTACCATCTTTCCAATAAAAAAAGGATTATTGAAATCGGTTCACGTGGTAAAAAAGTTATGTATTCCGGCGAATTGATAACCTCCCCTTTTTGAAGTCGGTTAAAAGTGTTTGAGTTCTGTTAATCTTATGTAAATAAAGTGCAGTTTATGAATTTTAAAACGTTTATTTATTTATTACATACTGTACATAAAACTTGCACAAATGTATTTTAAAGAGCGTATTATCAAGCAAATTTTCAGTATTTTCCGGTGATATATCTTCAGAAATATAAAATCCCCCCCTAAAATATATTCCTGGGTGCGCCCCTGTCCCTTTCTATCCGGTTATAAACTAGTCTCGACACCAAAGTCTCTCAATTTTTACCATAGCAATGCTATAAATAACTCATACATATACAATTTATTTAGCACTTTTTGTTGTTCTTTTCCATAGCTTTTGTTATGATTGTTTGTTGTTTGTATGTATAGCAGTCGCTGTGGTAAACTCAAATATCTTAAACAATAAATTCATAAAATGTGACGCACGCCTCATTCAACGACATCCACTTGGTACATATGTATTACAGTATTCACGTGTGCATATAAATAGAATAAAATATTTGAAAATTTACATATATAATTATTTTATTTGCATTTTCAGTAGCTGTGTACGCCCTTGCGTAAATTCAAGCTCAAGGTTTCTCTTTAAGCATTTTTTTCTCATCAATCAACATACCCTCAATTAAATTAGATAAGTACATAATTAGGCAGTTGGATAATTTATTGATAGTAGGAGCAGTAGTGGAAATTGTGCGTGCATAACAATTCGCTAGACAACAATTCTCAAGTGCTTTACTTATAGTGAAGGATTGTTGTTTTGAATAAATAATAAAGCCAAGTATTTTAATCAATCTATAGTTAAACTGAGTTTGCTTCTAGAAATAATTATCGCTTTAGATGTCATTATTTTTTCTTTTAAGTGAGAAAGGGAAAAAGGGTTAAAATATCACAATAAACTTACATTTGTGTATGTAGGTGTGTGTGGCCGTTTTCAAGCAAGTATATTCAATTTCTTTTAGCGTTTATCTTTAAAATCTACCGATTATACCTGTGTACTTCTGTACATCCATCAAAAAAAAAGATAATATTACAAATTGCATTTTATTATACTGGAATTTTTGTGGATTATAAAACTGCATACCCAAAAATTTTATAAAAATTCCAATTAAAAAGTTCGAAATTTTGATGAAAATTTGTTGAATTTTTCTAAGCTTTGGTTAAAGCATGAACAATGTTTGTATACAAAAATTATAAAAAAAATTACTAAACACATTTGAATATTTAAAAAACAAATCAACTTGTGAACACTTGTTTGAGAGAAATATGCCGAAAAAACTTTGCTTTACCGAAGTGATTTATCGATTGTTTCGGATGAAATAAAATTTAAATAAAAATGCATTTAACTTAACCGATTAAATGTGTCATTAACTGTCGGAAATTGTGATAAAATTGTAGATTTACAAAAACTAGTATGGCATATCTTGTCTCCGATGCACGCCAAAAATTTTTATGGGTTCTATACATGAAATAAGCTAACACGTATTCGCGGAATTTTTTCCTTTGGAGATATGATCTGCCAAAATTTGGATTTTTTCGTCATTCTGACCAATCATTTACTTCTTCTTAACGTCGTTCTAAAGCTAAAGAAACAGGCTCCTAATTCTATATATAAGGTGCTCTTGTTTGTCTTAAAATTATTTTAGTTATAAATTGTTGATTTTTTTTAAGTTGATTTACGTAGTGAAGACCAGTAAATAAGGATCAATTTATTTTGGAAAATTTATGATGAGATATGTATACACACTACAATATGTGTATTATACAAAATTATATTGTTCTTACAAGGATTCTACTAAATACCTCCATGTTTTCGACTATCGTTTCCAAAAATAACCACCACTTGATAGTATCCCAGTTCAAATATCCATAGGTTTCTCAGAAACGCCCCTAACGATTTTGAAAAAATTTTGTAGATCCAAGAAAGAAATTTTTTGTCTCCAAGAATACTCGTATAAGATTGCCACCTATTCGAAATTCACTACATATCAAATAAAACATCAAAATATGTGTATCACATTGAAAGTATTTTTAAAATCCCCAATTCAGAAATATTTTTAAATAGGGTTGCCACCTATTTTGAGTCGCATGATTATTTAATTTTTTTTTTTAGGAAACAAAGTTTCAATATTACTATTCACTTTAATCAAGATATGTACCATCCATCCCAGCGTATTTATAAATAGGGTTGCCACCAAATTTTTAAAGTAAGACATTTACTTACTTTTTAAGAAATCAAAAGCCAAATTTTTTTAAATTTATTTCCAAAATATTATTTTTAAAGCTATCCAAGTAACCAGTATTTGATGCCCAAACCTTGAAAACTTAAAAAGTATATGCACTTCGAGCAAAGCTCGATCATATGTACATGATGAGAAATACACTTACCAAAAAAAAAAAAAATCCAACGGATGGTCTTGTAGTCGAGATTTCCAGAAAATCCATATTTATGGCTCGAAAACGGCTATTTTTGACAGACAGATCTTTATCATAACTTCATCTTAACTGTAACTACATAATAATAAAAACTATTTTTTTACATGTTCTGCTTTACAACTTTAATAGTTGTGATCACTTTAATAGTTGTGATAAAATGTTTAAAGTTAGAATATAACAATCAGGAAAGTAAAAAGCAAATCTACACTTTCGTTACATTTGGCATTTACTATGTATATGCACATATGTACTAAGAGAAATTAAGAAAAAATTTACGAAAACCTCAAAAAAAATATTTGGATACAATATCCTCATTATTCAACATCTATCCTCTATAAACATTCGGACTCATTTTAGTGCGAGAAAAGTCTCAGATTTCTGAGTTGTAACCCTCGTGATAAGCCCGAAAAAGAGTCAGAAAAACGCATATTTCCCTTCTTCTAGAGTCTGAAATATGACGCTTTTCTGAGTCCTAAAACCAAATTTTCTTTATAATTCTGATTACTTCTACGTCAACTTTTTTGCTTTCGTTCAACTCAGAATCTATGACACAAAAAGAGTCCGAAATATGACGTTGACTGGTCTCAGGGTCATATTTATGACGAAAGAACGACTAATTTTAGACTCATAAATTCAGAAAATTATTTAAAGGGTTAATTAATGACCATTAACAATAAACTCCTCGTAGTCAGTGCAAAGCAACATTCTAAGCCAACGGCTGTATGGACAACTTTGTGGGTTTGGCTCCTCGGATTTCGAATGAGCTAAATCTTTCAAATCATGTTGTAGATCTTGTGGTTTATTAACTAAAATCAAGCGCAAATTCTTCATAATAAAATCATATTTATTTCATGATGGAAGATGATGAGGTATGAATAGGACGTTCTAAAGGGTTTAATGAATTAGCTCAATTTAGCACTATGTATTGTTTTGCTTAAGCCCTAGTGTATAAATAAACCAATATTTTAAATATATATATGAAACTTCAAACATTCTAGCAATATCTAGAATATACTTTTTTATCCTTTTAATATTTATTCTTGATGGGTAACACTTGAGTTTCTTGTTCGTTGGGAATGAACCAGCGGCTCTACCATATTTTGAACATAGCTGTATGTATAAATAGTGAGCAGATTGTTAAAGAACATAAGAATTTTTATAATACATACGTATATGTACATTAGGACGGAGCTAGTTTCGAAAAAAAGTGCACGACATATTCGAATTCCACGTTCGATTCTAAGCAAAACTAGTAAACAAACTATATACCAAAAATTACGTTTCACCCTCCGTTTTTATAAGAAAACTCAGTTTTTTATAATTTTTTCTGAACGAAATTAATTTTTCATTTGCAAAATTTTGTGTTTTGTGTCATGCAATATACTGCTTTTTCTTTTGAAAATTGGGAGGGTAAACCGTCATTTTTGGTATATAATTTCTTCACCATTTTTGCTTAGAATTAATCGTAGAATTTGAATTTGCTATATATGTACTTTCTTCGAAAATTTTGCTCCGAATAAATTACTCCGCCCTAATGTACATACATACCTACATATATATACAAAGATATATTAACATCAATTTAAAGAATTGTTAAATACTTAAAACAAAAATTAAGCGCCCGTGGCATAGCCGCGGTTCACTGGGACCACATATATGTATAGTATTAAATAGATGATCATACAAATGTACGTAATAGGGTATTCTAATAAACTGTATGTATGCGCTTTTATGATCTTCTGTGCCATAAATTTTTAATACATACATATATGCTAACTCGAGCTGTGTGCATACAGTTCATATCAATAAATTTACATACATACATAAATATTGTACACATGTCGACTAATTTCGCTGCTACCAGGCGGGCCTCCGTTCATACTGACATTGTTGTTATTGTAACTCGCCGCCCTCTATATTAAACACAGCCTGATAACATTTCTTCCACAAGTTTCTTTCGAATAACCACTGCTTAAAGCGCTAAGTAAACACGTTAAGTAGGGTGGTCCAAAATAAGTAAACTCGGAATTTTAACGCTCTCACCCCCTAGGATTGTTCTATACCGAAAAAGAATGTACCCCTATTTTTATTTTGAAATCAAAAAATATTTAGAGGTCATTCAAAGCGCTCAAAGCTTTCCATGTTCGTGTAAATAGTATGGCATTCTTGAAAATCAATATTTTTCGATCGAAAAACTTGGGTTCTCTTCAGCAGACTTCCAGTAACAATACACAATTGTTTATTTAACCATTTTTTAATACTAAAAATTTTGTATTTATCCTTCATTGCATTTTATGGCATTTTCTAGGGGTTCTGGCGGGTCTATAAAATATAGTTACTATGAAAAAATAGTTAAATAGATAATTGTGTATTATTTATTATTGTATTATTTATTATTTCCGGTCGAAAAATATTGATTTTCAAGAGATCTATACCATTTCTACGAGAAGTTTTTTTTTCACATATAAAATACATGGAAAACTTTGAGCGCCTTGATCCGACCTCTAAATATTTTTTGATTTCAAAATAAATAAAAAATAGGGGTACATTATTTTTCGGTATAGAACAATCCTAGGGGGTGAGAGCATAAAAATTCCGACTTTACTTTTTCACATGCATTTTCGAACCATCCTAAGGTACATACATACATATATGTATTTGTACTTATGCCAAAATAAAAAACAAACCCTACGTTTTTCTCCTCCGCTAAGCTCGACATGCGAGCGTTTTGCATCATTCTTCAATTTGTGGTCCCGATCGCTTAGTTTTCGCTTGCGGTGCTACAATCAAATATTAGCAACCCAAATATTCTCATTCGTTCGCGGACAATCGAGCGTGATCGTCGTCTTTATTTCACTGCCTCCGTTTTTTTTTACTAACTAAATATAATCTTTTTTAGTCAAATAAATACGCGTAGACTATAATATTCTTTTTACTTATTTGGCATATTTTCTGTAGATAGTCAACGCATAGCGCACCGAAATATGTCAACTTCCCAGCAACGCAATCTAGTCGCGGTCGCGGAGTCCAAGCGTTTCATGACCGACTGCTTCCTGGCAGTCAAGGTGCCCAAGGAACATGCTGAGGCTATGGCAGATCTGCTCGTAGCTGCCGATTATCGGGGACACTTCAGTCATGGCATGAATCGGCTGGAAATGTATATCAACGATTTGGCGATCAACTCAACAGATGGTGCTGCCACTCCAGCGATACTCAAGGAGACGCCAGCCACCGCTTGGGTGGATGGACGCAATGGCTTGGGCGTAGTTGTTGGCAATTTTTGCATGGATTTAGCGATAAAGAAAGCGAAAACGGTTGGTGTTGGTTGGGTATGTGCCAAAGGTTCGAACCACTATGGCATAGCGGGATGGTATGTGCTGCGCGCACTGAAGCAAGGTTTGATAGGCATGACGACAACTAACACATCACCATTGATGGCGCCCACTCGTTCGAAGGAAGCAGCGCTAGGCACTAATCCACTGTCGTTCGGTGCACCCGCTAAGGATGACAAATTTTTATTAGATATGGCAACCACGTCGGTTGCGGTGGGTAAAATTGAAATACAACGTCGCAAAGGCGAACCACTGCCCGACGGTTGGGCGCAGGACCCAACTGGCCAGCAGACAAATGATGCTGAATTGGCATTCAGCACCGGCTGCTTAATGCCACTCGGCGGCCCTGAAATTTCATCTGGTTACAAGGGATATGGCCTAGGTGCTATGGTTGATATACTTTCTGGCGTCTCAGCGGGCGCCAACTACTCGACGAAGGTGCGAAAATGGACACACGCGGGTGCGAATACTGCCGCCGATTTGGGACAAGTCTTCATTGCTGTGGATCCTAATTGCTTTGCTCCGGGCTTCGAAGAACGCCTAACAGACTTTAATAGCCGACTCCGAGGCTGCGAACCGGTGAGTTTTGAACTTGTTTTCTCCATTGTAAAGTTTTGAAATACGCGAAGTGGTAGATATCGAGCCCTTACAGCCAAAATAACGTAAGCGAATTTTTTTTTTTTAAATTTCTTTTTTTATGCAGAAATGCATCTAGATGCTCTAGGAATCAAAATTTCGAAAAAAATGTCGCTAGGGTATAAACAAAAAAATAAAAAAATCGATACTTTTTACGATCGGAATTATAAAATGTATGATATTTTAAGGCTTTCGGCAAAAAATTGCAAAAAAATTAAGATTTAAGTGAGCTGGACGGATTTGAAAATATCTTAAAAAATCGATTTTTTGTAAATAAAATTATTTTTTGAAAACATTTTTTCCAAAAAGTTACCCCTAATGATAGAAGAGTTTAAGCTTAAAATGTCTGCATAAAACTGTTCCAAAATTGTATCAACATAATCAAAATAGCGAATTTTCGTAACTATTTTCACTATTGGTCCAACTCATGTAATTCTTAGTATTTTTCTAAAATAAAAATATAATCAATTTAAATTGCAAATTTTTTGGTAAGGCACCCTAATGTACATGCATATCGATACCTAAGTGCAAGATCGACCTACGTCTCTCGGCAGCCAGTTCAAAAACGCCCTATCTCAGCTGCTAAGTCATCCCCTATCTCAGCATATTTTGAATGTATTTTCAGGGTGTTCTTCAACCCAATTTTGAGATAGGGTGTTTTTCAATAAAATTCTGAAATAGGGCGTTCTTCAATCAAATTCTGAAATAGGGCGTTCTAGAAAAGTATTCCGAGATAGCGCGTTTTCGAACTGGCTGCCGGGATAGGTCGATCTTCCACTCAGGTGTCGATATGTATATGTAAATCATCATAACCATTGCCATTATTGAAATCAATACCGTTAACTTAATCAATAGCTTAAAAAATATCGTTATCACCCATAATTGTATCGGTATATTCATCGATACCGTAATTTATATAATCGCCGATATACATACGTATGTAGATATATTTATTGCTACTCCTTTTAAAGTGGGTTTCGATATGATTATTGATTTACTTATTGCGACAGATATTATTATCGATATATATAAATCGATATCCTTACAGAAATTCTTATCAATAAATATATCAAAGTAGCGAGCGACGTATTCTTATCGACTGAGAGTTTTTTTTCCGATTATTTATCAATCGATATTTACCGATCTCGATATTAGAAAAAATATATATGTATATGACTTACATTATTTTTGATTTAATCATAAAGTTCTAACGACAAAATTTCCATTTTACAGACTGACCCATCTAAACCAGTTCTGGTCGCTGGGGACAAAGAGGATCTAAACATGAAAGCAGTGGATGAAGCCGGTGGTATCCAGTACTTGGAAAATCAATTAAAGACTTGTGGGGCTTTAGCCGAACGTTTAAAAATTAAGCCGCTAAGTTTTATTTAATTGCAAAAAAAGAAATGTGTACTTCGTGCTTTGACTGTTTCTGCATTTCAATTAGGTATTATAAAAATAATGTTTTATATACACAAAGGTGTATATATGCAACTCGGCACGAATTTGTCCACATTGTACGTACATATGGATGTATGTACATATGTACATAAATATACACATATCCACACGTGCCTGTTGCTTGTTAAAATTTGTATGTAAATTAATCTATTGTTATTGCATTTTTAAGCGCATTTTTTAATTTTTGTTGTGTTATTTTTATTTCTAATAAAAAATCAAAGTAACATTTAAAATGTTATTGAAAACAAGAAACGAAAAGCTTTGCGTATTTGTTTTTTGCTTCTTCTTTTTCACATTGACGCGATAGCGTTGACGCGTTTAAGCAGCCAAAGCTTTTAATTAAATCCAGCTTTTCAAATTTCGTATACTCAATAAAAAAACAACAGTCCCAGCGCGAGTATGAGCTGCGTCTTTAGTCTCGTATTCGAGTTTAATGCATTCAAATGTTGGTTGCTTTGCGTTGGCGTCGATTTTTTGTCAAAGAGGCTGAAAGACTGTGGCTGATAAGAAAAATTGCGATAACAATTTGTATCTCAAAGTCGCCGTATTCGCACATGCTAGCAGTTAATTAGTGAAGGTGATTTATGAAGTGCCGAACTGTACTTAAATGAAAATAGTGAATCACGAGAAATGGCTGTAAAAAAAAAAGTTCAAACAACTTTTAACTTCCAATACAGTGGTGTGCCTGGAAATAGGAACGACCATGTACGTACAAGGCAAAATACAATCTTTTTTAAATGCCTACTACGAAAGTTCTTGAGACTTTAAAAAATTGCTTCGATACCTTGCAAAAACAGCTAAATCGGGCGTTTGTCATAATTTTTCTATGTATGTTTATGATTCCGGAATTTTTCAAGCCAATTCCAAATAAAAAATTTAAATATATTAATGAAAGAAATCATATTAGCTGGAATAACGTCATAACACAACGAAAAATGACTTAAAATTCAAGGCTATACATACAGACCTGTCAATTGATAAACAATTTGCTAGCTTAGAGTGAAAAGTTGCTAAGTCCCAATTTAAAAATTTTACAGGTGAGGAAAAAAACTACTTATAGCCATTTTCTTCAAGTATTTCGCAAAACTCTGAATGCAAAATTTTGCCTGTTTAAAGCAAAGCAAAACTCCACACGAATCAGATGTTCGGAGCTTATTTTGGCCTTAGCAAATTTTCCTTCATTGAACATAAGCGAGAAAACATAAAACAGTTATATTTATCCTAGTCTCTCCTAGTCTCTAGTCTCCTGTTTCAAAAAAATGAGTTTTCATAAAAAGTGGACTTAGCAAATTTTCACTCTAAGCTAGCGATTTGAAAATAATTGGTTTCTGTTGAAATTTTACATTCTGCCACATGCAACCACCGTTTTGCCACATGAAACCACCTTTTTCTAGTTGTCCTTGCAAGGCATTTCAGTCGTGTCTCTTAACATTGTGCATTAATTTATGTCCGTTTTTGAAATTCGCTAAGCATAAATATTTGAAATCTACTTTGTAGTGGTATGAATATCTATTTTTATACCCGAGCGCACTTGTGCACAAGGGTATTATAACTTTGTTCACGTAACGGTTGTTTGTAACAGGCAAAACGAATCGAGATAGATATAGACAAATGTATACATAAATGATCAGAATGAAAAGAGAAATCGATTAAGCGGTGACTGTCTGTCCGTCCGTCCGTCCGTCCGTCCGTCCGTCCGCCCGTCCGTCCGTCTGTGCACACGATAACTCGAGTAAAAATTGAGATATCTTAACGAAACTTGGTAAGTGAACTTCTTTTGGGCGTGGGACGGATGGTATTGAAAATGGGCGAAATCGGATAATAACCACGCCTACCTCCCATATAACGGTAATTTTAAGAAATACGAAAACTGCGATATTTTAGTAACTACTGAAGATAATTCACTCAAAATTGATACTTACAATGAGTTTCAGACGGAAAACATGAATATTATAAATTTTTGGAAAATGGGCGTAGCCACGCCCACTTATGGTTACATGTGTATATCTTGGTAACCGCTGCACCAATTTCTTCCTAACTTGGCACAGTAGTTGGCCTTAGTACAGCATACTAAATGGCTGAAAATTTTAAAAATCGGACAATAACCACGCCTACCTCCCATATAAAGGTAATTTTCAGAAAAACGAAAACTGCGATATTTTAGTAACTACTGAAGATAATTCACTCAAAATTGATATTTTCAATGAGTTTTACACGAAAAATAAGAATATTACAAAATTTTGGCAAATGAGCGTAGCCACGCCCACTTATGGTTACATGTGTATATTTTGGTAACCGCTACACCAATTTCTTCCAAACTTGGCACAGTTGTTGGTCCTGGTACAGCATACCAACTGGCCGAAAATTTCTAAAATCGGACAATAACCACGCCCACATCCCATATAACGGTAATTTCGAGAAATACAAAATCTTCGATAAATCAGTAAATATTGAAGCTAATTTATTCAAAATTGATGATTGCAACAATTCTTTACCAAGAAATACGTTTATGACAAAATTTTGGAAAATGGGCGTAGCACAGCCCACTTGTGATCACATATATGTATCTCGCTTGTACGCTCGGTATGGTTATTGTACTTGCCACATAGAACAAAACGTTGAAAATTATTGAAATCGAACTAAAATTACTGCCGCTTTTCATATAATTGTAAATTTCAGAAATGCTTGAAACTTCAATATTTCGAAATTTAAGGACGCTAATAATACTCAAAAGGGATACACCCCGGTTTACCATGTAGCGGTAGCTTTCGGAAAGGTGGAAAACATATATTTAATATTTGCGCCGGGTATTTAATGTTCGGCTCCGCCCGAACTTAGACTTTCTTACTTGTTTTCCTTTAATTTTGATCCAGTATCGCGGCGGTGATATGCTGACTTTCTGTCATTCCCACGTAAGGTTTTTGTTCCTGTATGGATATTTACTTTGTTTTTATTTGCTTTCTCAAGCTGCATTTACACGGGTCGATTTCTGTCCACTGGAAAAGCGACTTAGAAAACGACAAGCGTGGAGTGTATAATGCACATCCCTCGCTGTAATGGAACTTAAGCTCACCAAAATTATTCAATTGCTCGTACGTATGCACATAAGTATGTACATATGTACAAACATACATATGTATAACAAAATTTATTAACGATGACTTCATCTCAAGTGTTGGTGAACTCACATGATCATAAATTGGCTGGTTACTTGTAGAATAAGATAATTAAAAAAAAAATGTAATTAATGCCACAGATGGGGAAAAATTTGTTATTGAAATGGATAATACGTAAGTTGAAACTTGCGTTGTGCTAGTTGCGCTGTTATCAAAATTTCTAACAAGTGAAGTAAATGTACAAAGCTTTCGAGATATTCGATTTTAAGGATTATTTAAAAACAAATATTTTTTTCTTGTAAATACATATGTACGTCCATGAAGTGAAGCCATTCTAAGGGCCGGTTACTCAATGTCTGGTTACCACTAACTGCAGGTTAAACATCGTTATCGACTTTACGGACTGCCTGTTATATGTTCCGAAGTCCATATCGTCGATAACGATGTTTAACCTGCAGTTAGTGTTAACCCAACTTTGAGTAACCGGCCCTAAGAGGACGGGTATACGATTACATATATTATTTTGCATTATAGATGAATTTCAAATGCATTTTAAGTTGAAATGAAACATATTTGACATGAACCTTAAAAAGTGTGATTTTTATAAATTAAAGAAACAGCTATAGTACAACTCTTCCAAAAGGCCTTCGAAGTCCGTTCTACAAAAGCCCGTTTGGGTAGCAGAAGGCCTTCAATTTGTGCCCGCAGCTCCATACAAAAAAAAGAAAGGAATAAGAAATGTAAAGTGGAAAGCCTTTTGGAAGGGCTTTTACCTCATGCAATTATCTACTGGGAAATAGTTAGTGGCAACAATTAGGTTTAATAAAATTTTTGAACTAATGCATACATGAATGTGTAAGTACATACATCTACATATATATACAAGTGTATGCACGTACAACATTCATTTGTTAAGTTTTTAGCAATGCAGATACATAAGAGCGTTTGGATATACATACATACATTAGGGTGCATCACTATTTATACAAAAAGAAATATATATATGTATTGCTACTGTTTTTCCATCAGAATTATAAAACTTATTATATTCTATTCTATTCTATTAAGATTTTCGCAAGCTGAATCCAAAATTTAGTTGTTTTTTTATAAATAAAAGTAGTATTTAAAAACACTTTTGGTAAAAAATCACCTCAATGATCGAAAGCTTAAAAGCTCTGCATAAAAATGTTAAACATTTTATCAACAGAATAAAAACACATAATGGCATTTTTCGAGGTATCATATCAAATCGGTCTAGCTCAAGTAAATCTTAATATTTTCCCGAAATACATATTTTGGCGGAAGTCTTACAATAAAATAAATTTTATAATTTCGGTGGAAAAACCGCAACTTTTTGTTGTTGATGCACCCTAATTATCTGCATACAAGTATGTAGGTATATGTATGTATGTGCAAATGTATGTATTTTTTTGTTTTGTTTTGGACAGCCACAAAAATTCAATGAAATACAATGTCTCATTTGGGTTTTTTATTTTTTGCTGACCCTCCATATCGCAAAGGCGACTCGATTATGTATTTTGTTTATTTTTCTTCATAAATAAACTACCGGCTACACTCGATTAGCGCACAAATGCGCGTTGCATGCGTTGAACTTCCATGTGGATGCCGGTGACAGTCACACTTAATAAGTGAAGAGAGAATCAAAACAAAACTAAAGAAAATCATACAGTATTGGCCAATACAATAGCACCCCCATTTCAAATTGATATTATTTGCCACTCATGATTATTTATTTATTTTTAAGAATTTTCAATTAAAATACAGTTTATTCTCTTACAAAACTCATATAAATCCAAGTTTAAAAGTTTTTAAAAGACTACAAAAAACCCTATTTTCACCCAAATTTCAAACTTCTTTCTCAGAAGTGTTAGAATTTTTTCGAGTACATAGTTTCATAGCCCATTCAATTTTAGTCTAATAATGTGCAAGTTTCAAGTGGCTAAAATTTACCGTTGATTTTTTAGAATTTTTTCGCCGAAAGTATTGCGAGTTTCTTCCATATAAAAATGAATTGTGTTTATTCGTTATATCGAAGCAAATGGGACAAAAAAGAATTAAAAAAAAATCAACGGTCATATTTAGCGACTTGAAACTTGCACATTATCAGACTAATTATTTTAATTGAAAATTCTTAAAAATAAATAATTAAACATAAGTGGCAAACAATAGCGCTCTAGATATGTATGTATGTCCAATACTGTATTTTCCCGCTTCGCTATAAGCCATGTACATACTCGTATGTAGTTGTAACGAAAACTTTTCTCAGTTTGTTTTTATACGCGCATTCGCATTTATATCACTCGCGCCGCACCCCCTTTGTATATTAACAAAGTAACACCAGCCCGCTCACCACCTTCGAAGGAGTCCTCATCCACTGGCATTTTGTTGCGCGCACCTCGCGCATCCCGTGAGTCTTTCGAAGATTGCAAGTTCGAATTTCGAAGAACGCTTGCTCCACCAAACCATTTGAATAGAGGTTTTTTTTTTTTTTTTGTTGTGCGTATCCAACAAATGCCGGACACTGAGTTCGCAAAGCATCAAGCGCAAAACAGTTTGGCTGGCTGTAGGCAAGTCAGTACGTGACCGCAACTCGAAGTGAAAAGTAGTGGAAAAGTGAAAAACCAAGCGCGAATATAGCATCACGTTAGAACAGTGCTCGTATGTATACGGGTATATGTGTAATCCGTGGACATTTGCAACCCCCAAAACGCACACCACACCACACCACACCACTATTTGGCTCCACTTGGTATACACAGGATTTACATAAAATACGGGTTCGCTTGGGACTCGCTGTGCAGACAAAGACGTCAATTGCCAAGCAATGAATTTTAAAGCTCACAAACAAATATAACTCCGCATAGACAAGTGAAAAATACAAAGAATTTACTTTAAAGTTTTATTGAAAAGTTTAACGCAAAAATGGCCGAGGCAAGAGGCCAGTACCAGAAGTTGCCGCCCGGCTGGGATTGTAAATATGATCAAGCAACAGGAAATTGGTATGTGAAATAATTGTGTGCGTTAGTGTAAACTATTGTGGTGCATAGTTTAAGGCAAAATCACTTCAAAATGGGCGTGTGGAAAGTAATAAATATATCTAAACATACACATATAAAACCAGCAGACTAGCTGGCTCGCAGGAGCAGTAATGGCATGCCAAGAATTCCACTACGCATTTCAGCGGAACTCCTGTATAGAGATTTTCAAAATGGCGGCCATAAAAATGTGGCGGGGTAGCATAGACTTGTGCAATTAAAATAGTTGTTAGCATACTTTTAGGTGCAAGCTACAAGTAAATACAACGAAATATGTAAATAAATGAGAAATGTGTGTATAGTAAATAGGAAAAATGTAACATCAAGGAATTGTAGCCGTAAAAAATGGGTCGGTACTTGAGCTGGCACTTATGCAAACATCGCCTCTAAATTTATATATGTATGTAACTTAGAGATGTATCATCCATACAAAGCTGTGTATACATTCATACATACATACATATACACATAAACAAGGCCATGTAATCTCTGTTTATGACGTGCAGCTATTTAAAATGCAAAAACCCCAGTTATGCAAATAAAATGTATCAAGGATATGCAAATGAATTGAAGAAAAAAAGAAATCTGTGCAAATAAACGCAAAAAAAGTTGCGCGTTCTAAATAATTAACCAAGTAGATATGCACGTATGCATGTGACTCCCTACAGTCAAAGGATTGTATGTATGTATTAATAATGTTGATGATGCCGTTACTGTTGCTTATCTTAATTCAGTATATATGTACATACATATATATTATTAATATGTATCTAATTATGTTTAACGCTATGCAGATAGATATCGGTTGATGTATGCTCTGCGACCAGGAGATCTATTGTGCCCTTAACGGTATTTAAGTAAGGACATATGTATGTATATAAATACATATACTATACATACGTAAGTAATTCTACAAGCAAGACCATACAATGCTTGTATGGCGTGGTGGGTGTATGAATCTCGGTATTTCCCGGACTCAAGTGAAGTTAACGTGTGTACATATGTATACACAAATACATACAGATAAACCAGAGATGGGTACGGCACAGTGGGACATTTTCGACCGACTTTGTTCAAAAATAACTAGAAGATTAATCATTTTAGAGTTTAAAAAAGAAAATTGTCTGGACCCGAATTAAAAAAATATTAATATTTATCAGCATATGGTGAAACTCGCAAAATGTTTTTTTGGCATTTTTTTTAGATAGCAGCCGCTCATATTGGATTGCCAATTTTGAATTTCGCGATTCTTTCAGATTCTATTCAACGACCTCAAAAACGTTTTAACCACATTTAAAAACTAGAATTTGTCACCAATAAAATATTACTTAAAGTTCGATTTAAAAAAAAACTAAACTTTCACCATATCGGCGATACCAGCGAAAAGTCTACCGCGAAAAAATAAACGTCCTACATCCAAGTTAATTTTCTTCTTTTCATAATATATACCGCTTATTTAACAGAAAAATGGTCTAGCTAGGTGGCGCCAGGGTCGAGATATTTTGAAAAGCCGTATTTATGCTCTGATTGGTTTCACATTTGGCATGTTTAATTGAAACGTAATAAGATATAGATTTGCAAAAAATGGAGCCGCTGGTGGCGCTGTTGTCAAAATAAAAAGTATATTCGACATACATAAAATGCATATTTTCTTCCCCGTTAAAAATTCGTTCAAGAACAATATTAACAAAACGCGTTCAATGGAGATTTTAGTAACGTAACGCCAGGTAACGTCGCGCCAGATACTTCACCTGATTAAAAAAAAATCAGAAAAGATTTCTGCATTTAAAAACTTGGAAAACTTACCTGAAACATTTAAAATATTACTAAAAAAATTGTATACAGATAGTCTTGCCCAATTCCCAGAGTTTTGCAATTTTGTAACCCAAGTTAAAATACACTTCTGTTTTTTGTAACGTCACGCCTGCGTATATGTTAACTAATATCTTTAATTCTCTACCACCAACAATTGTAATTTTTTACCTGAACAAAGGGTAATTTAATTACTATTTAAATATAGATAAACCATTTTAAAATTTTGACTTTGTAGTTTTTTTTTTAACATTACATTCAAGTCATACAAGTGTCAAGTAACGCTAGATTGGAAATACCCATATGCTGATAAAGTACAAGTTTTTTTTT